TTTATATATTCTTGATTATTTTTTTAAAAAATAATGAGGACAAGCTAGGTGAGGTGGTGCACACCTGCAATCCCAGTAATTTGGGAGGCTGAGACAGGAGGATTGCAAGTTCAAGGTCAGCCTCTATAACTTAATTAGACTCTATCTCAAAATAAAATATAAAAAGGGTTAGAACCATAGCTCAATAGTCAAGCATCCCTGGGTTCAATCTTCAGAGCTGCAAAATAAGTAAATAAAAAACCCCCAATAACATCTTGCATAAAAATTAAGATTAAGTTCTCTGGGAACTTCTTTTTTTTATAACCAGTTCAAGGAAGATTATTAAGCAATAAACTAATAGTAGATATATTGGAGTATTTGCATTATCATGTTTGCAAACTACTTCATGTATATTTTCTTAAATGCTCAAACGTATTAGAAGTATGATGACTTAACCTTGATCTTTCAGAAAATGATTAATAAATTCCTAAAAACATTGTACATGATCAAGATATTCTTATTTATAATGCATCAAATAGTAAATATAAAAAACAATATTATAAATATATGTATTTTTATCCATCACTCTCAGAAGACATATGATATCATAATATTCTGGATCCAAAGGGAGGCAATCATCTCTGAGCAAAATCAAGTAGGCAAGCACAAGAAACATAATGTAATTTTGTGGTCACCGGTTGTTATAGTTTGAACATGAGGTGTCTTCTAAAAGCTCCTGTTAATGCAGGAATATTCAGAGGTAAAATCATTAAATTATGAAAGCTGTAATCTAATCAGCCCATCCTAGTCTGAATGAATGGTACCTAAATGTAGGCAGGTGGCTGGAGGATATGGGTCACTAGGGGTCTGCCCTGGAAGGGATCATCTTGCATGCAGTCCCCGCCCACCCTCAGCACCTTTCTCTCTCTGCTTTCTAGCCACCTTGAGCAGGACAGTAGTCCTACACCATGCCCTCCTGCCATGATGTTCTGCCTCACCTCAGGCCCAGAGCTGTGGAATTGGCTGACCATGGATTGAACCCCTGAAACCATGAGCCAAAATAAACTTGTCTTCCTCTAAGTTGTTCTTGTCAGGTATTTTGGTCACAGTGATGAAAAGCCGACTAATACACTGATACTGATAAAGGCTAGTAAAGAGCACAAGGGCCAGTACAAAACAACAAGAAACCAAAACAAAACAAAATAAAACAAACCATTAAATCTTCATGGAACATACTTGGAAGGTCTCACTACTCTACAGTGATATTCCACAGAAACTCCTAAACGGAAGACCTGAAGCAATTTATAAATTAAATGAACCCCAATCAACTCTGGAGAGATGACGTTTTCCAAGGGTTTCTTATTAGGCATTAATTTTAGGACTGATTCACTGAGCACCTATCTGTACCAGGAGTGTGCCACTGTGCCAGGTACCAAGCAATAGTGATCTAAATAGACATTAATGTCACCTAACTTGAATTAATCTCATTAAACATGTGTTTGAAATATTTTTAGTTTGTACTTAACTTGCAATAAGTTCCTTAAAGAAAGAGATCATAATTTAAAAAAATACTTCCCAATGAATTACAGTACAGTGCTAACAGGCCTTCTTTATTTTCAAGCCTCTATGAAAGCTCCATAAGTTTTCTGTGTAAGTGCTGTGATAGGTTACACATGCTACCATCATAACCTTAAGGTTTACATTTATTTAATTACTAATGACAGGTTCAATTACAGATTACAGGTGTCTAATCTCTGTTGAATTCCACTGGTTTCTAAAAGATATGTTTCTTGACCATTTTCCAACATAGTTCATTAGCTTTCTGCTCAGAAATTACTCTATATCTTTTGTTATTTTCATCTCAAGCTTTCCACACATTCCTCTACACAAATGACCTTGCTTCCTGCCTTAAGAAAAAAGGCAGTGCATTTGATGTAAATCCCAAGTCTCAGCTCCAAAGCAGTTTTTCTTGTCCACCGGCTATTCTTCTTTCCTAGGCTCAGAGAGGGGCCTTCTAACCCTTCTGTTCTTCCTGCCTCATCTGTGATCTTGCCATGGCCAGTGTCCTACAGTTGTCCCTTCCTCCTTTGTTGTTTATTTTTACAAGGAAAGAAAACAAAACCAAAATTCTCCTTTGAACCAATCAACCAACCTCCTTTCCTGAACTATTACTTTCCCTCTCTGCATTCTCCATTTGACTCCTCTTTTCTCAAACTGTGGCTCCTAAGCTAGATGAGTCAGCATCACTTGGGAACTTGTTTGAAATGTAAATTTTCTAAGTCCACCCAGACCTACTGTTTCAGAAACTGGTGTAGAGCCTGATGATATGCATATTAACAAGCCCTCCAGGAAATTCTAATGCTCCCTACAGTTTGGGAACTACCTTCTTAGACCAAAGGGCTCCTCAGCTCACATCCTTTTTAACTTCTCTACAACACTTGGCAGAAAGTAGTATTGCTTCTATCTGAAGTTTAATTTTCTATCAACAACTGCAAACTCTTATTCTGGTTCTCTTCTTAACTCTCTGATCATTCATTAACAATCTCTTTCACTGTCCCTCCCTATATCCCGATATGAAAACATTGCTACACTTACCAGTGTCTCCAAAATTTCACCAATTTTCCTGCCTTTTCCCTAGAGTCTTGCTCATTATGTGATCTTCACTTTGATGAAAGGTGTCAGTGCCTGGCCATTCACCCAAGCCAGGAATTTCTACTTTACATTCTTACTTTGAATTGGCCAACCAAGTTTCTTTAATATTCATCTCCACAACTCTCTCGCCTATTCTTTATTCCCAGGTGGATTGCCAGAACACTAGATCATGTCAGTAGCTTATCTGATAATAGCTACACTTTTCAATAGCCACTCCTCAACATTTCTACTTCACCATCTAAGGGGTAAGTTCTGTCATGTCAGTCCCATTCAACATGAAAAAAAAAATTCAAAAATGATGAAAATTAAAAAAAAAAAAAAAGCCACAGCTAGTCACTGTGGCCCATGCCTTTAATCCAAGGGAGGCTGAGGCAGGAGGATAACTAGTTCAAAGCTAACCTCAGCAATGGCAAGGTGCTAAGCAACTCAGTGAAATAAATAAAATACAAAATAGGGCTGGGGTTATGGCTCAGTGGTTGAGTGTCCCAGAGTTCAATCCCCGGTGCCCCCACCCCCAAAAAATAGACCAAACAAACAAACAACAATAACTTTGATGGCTTGCTATCAGAGGCTGAAGTTTAACATCCTGAGCATGGTGAGTTGGCATTTTAAGTCAACCTACCCTCTCTGTCTCCTCTTCTACCACTTCTTTTCTAATTGCAAAACCTTTCTTTCTCCCTCCAAATCTTTTGCTTCATCTAGACAAGATTGTTCACATTCTCTTCTTGCAGACTTGGTTAACAGTTTTCTCTGCCTGAAATATGCATCACTAACTACATATGCCTCACTTATTTAACAAACATTAAAATTATTACAAACTAAAGGGCAGAGAGGATGAATGAAGCATATATCAGGTACAACTTGAGGTCATACATTCCACCTAAAGGGGCAGTATCTGATCAGGAATTGAAAAATGCTGGCATACAAGTATTGTATTTAAGAAAAGACAGAAATGGGGCTAGAGAAGAAGCTCAGTAGTAGAACACTTGTGATCCCCGGTACCACAAATAAAGAAAGAAAGCAAAATTTAAAAAGCCAGAAATACAGGTTTTTAATGTGACATTTCTCAATTTTAAACTCTTGTAGCAAATATTTAAAAATTTAAATTACTCCTATGTACCACTGAGTGTCTGCCAAATAAAATACATCTGTTGGCTGTCAATCTGGACCTTGATTTTAGTTCCACTAGGCATTAGGGATCCAAAGGTGACGGAAACAGGGCCTCTGACCTGAAGGCTCACCTTCAGGCTGTGCTCACATGCCAGTGCAGGCAGGAGAAAATAGCCTTCTACTCAGCTCTCATAATGCTCTGTTAATATGTCACTTGCCATCATATTCTTTTAGTTAATACTTACTCCCTTGAATCATCAGACCCTAGAAGGGTAGAGACATCTTCTGCCGGAGAACTGGCAGCACCAGCACATTGCTAGGCAGGAGTAGGTATTCAGTTATATGTATAGAGAGATACCCACATATCAATTTGTATCAACTCTATTCCAAACCTTTAAGCTATTATGTTCTTTTCCCTTCCTAGGTTGACATTATACCTAGATTAGATACCACCATGTAAGCTATGTTCTGACTGAAGAATTTGTCTTTTAAAGAATCACACATAAAGATACACACATGTTCCTTGTATGATGGTGTCCCAAATAAGGACTATATAGAGGTACTTTTGATAAGTTGAAGAAATTATTTTAGACTAGGACAGACATCTGCACTTTGGAACATGAGGAAAAGTGTTTATTTATCCTGCTTGTTAATCATGGGTTGTAGTATTTTTCCATTTAACAAAAGCACTAAAAAGTCAGATTTAATTTTTAATGCAGTTATATAATTTCTAGTTATGTTATTCAGGAATATTCACAAAACTAATTGAAATTGTAAACTGTTGGACATGAATATTGATTCATTTCTTAGTAAAACCAAACATTCTCACATACTCTTCAGCATTAGGCTTAAGAGGGGATTGTTTGGTTACTGCTATTTCACTCCTCAGTTTATCTAATTTCTAGGCATAGCTACAGTCCATGTGTATAGGTCCTAGATGGTTGCCATCTGCAAAGTTCATCAACATCAATCTTGCTGAAAAGAATATACTTTTGTAGTTACTTGGATGTTATCAAAATGAAGAATAAAATTTTTAAATATTTTCCCTATGTATATGATAAGCAAGTTAAAATCCAAACCATATTTCAGATGTTAAAGATTTAGACCCCTTCTATTTAGTTTATAACTCTGTATGAGTTATAAACTAAATAGAAGTGCACGAATTCATCTATACATGAATTATTATATCTTTGACATTGAGACTCCATGTCTTATATTCATTGAATGTATCTTATCAATAAACAGACCATAAGGCTTACCTGCAGACTGTTGAAAATGACAAAGAGAACCAACATCCAGAACTGTCTGTAGGCCATGTGCAGTCCTCCCCAGAGCCATGCCATAGAAATCAGGGCAAAGAGATATAAAATCAGTGGAATTTCTAGAAATGATTAAAAAAAAAAAAGAAATTTTTAGCTTCAGAAGATTGCATAGTTATACATATACACAAAATATTTTGGCTTCTTTCTTGTGCTGGATACTCTATACCTAAGTACCCATTTTACCTGAACAATCTCAGAAATCCTATTCTCATGCCAAAGAAGGCAAAGCACATCCCTGAGTCCACATTATTCATGCTTTTCCAATGGGTCTGCTTTTAGGCCTGATGACTGGGAAGGAACAGAACTGTCCTTCTCCTAGACTACCACCTGCTGGACTGTTCAGGAAATACCACATGGATTACAGAGTCCCAGTGAATCTGTTCTACCAGAATGGAAGGAAGCAGGGTGCTCCCCAAATTAGCATAATCCAACCAGGCATTTAAGATCAGAAATCTTATACGTTTTTTGTGTGATGGAAAACTGTCAACTCTTTTTTTTTTTTTTACTGTGAAGACATGAAAATATATTGTGAAGTTTAAGAGCAAAGATGAAATGACGAATTTACTGTCAACCCTGAGTTCATTCTACCCATCATGTTCTCAAACAATGTGTTTCAATGGTTTTCTGAACAGGTTTTTTTTTTTTTCATATCTAAGGAACTTTATTACCATTTCTATTTGTCTATTTTGAATTTTATTTGATATTTAGATAACAAGTTTTAAAAGATTTAGAAGGTGAAGAGATGTTAGAAGCCATAATAAACATATGTTCAAGCTGATGAAAGATCTCAAAATGAACTGCACTACTGAGAACCCTCCTGACAGACCTCACGTCCTTGTTTACCCATTATCATCAATTAACATAAAAGTTCTATTTAAAATTTTTGATCCATTTTGAAGTTGCCAACCTGATCCTCCTTTACTCTCTGAGTACTTTGATGTATATTTTCTACAAAGATATTTTTGTAGGTAGACACAATATCATCAAATAGGGAAATTAACTTTGAAATATCACTATTATCCTCATGTCTTAGTTATTCTAATAACTTCCTTTATACAGAAAGATCCAGCCTTTTATGACTGACACATCTCTGTAGTCTTCTTTAATCCCAATGGTTCTGTGTCTGACTTTTCTGACATGAATACGTTTGATAATTACCAGATAGGTTTTCTTCTGGAGTGGCATTAAATTTGAGTCTATTTGATGTTTTCTCAGGATTAGAGTTAGATTGTAAATCTTGGCAGAAATCACAAAAGTGATGCTAGGTTCTTCTTAATAGCACTCTATCTAGAGGCACAAGAATTCCATTTGTTCCTCTAAAGAAGATACTCATTTTGGCCACTTGATGAAAGTAGTGGCTTCCCAGATTCTCCACTATGAAGTGAGCCTTTTCAAAGGGCAAGATCTTTGTAATTAATTAGTATCTTATGTGGCATTACTTGAAAACTATGTATCTTTTTCTTTTTCAAATATTTGATTTGTTCTTTATTTTTATAATATGGACTTCTAGATTTCTATTTTACTTAGTGAGTTATTATCTATTTTTATTCTCATTTATTTTGATGCCCCAAGTGTCCATACTTCAAGAAGGTTTCTATACCTTTGTTATGGCCCTCATTTTTCTGTTAGCATCTACTTGTTATTGGCCCAAGATATTTCAGACTTTTACTTTCCAGTACTGTTTTCTCTTGGGAGAGAATGATATGTAGAAACTGTGGTCTGGGGCTAGGTGTGGTCATTGTTTTTGCTGCTTCTACGCTCTCTCAGTAACCAGAGCTAGAAATTAGATGTTTGTCCCCCACACCCACACACATACTTACATCTACAGCTGTTCTCCTTTATTCTTGGAGGATAAATTCTCAGACCCTAGAGGATGCCTGAAACTATGAATAGTATTGAACCTCATATATACTGTTTTTTCCTAAATATATATGAAGCTGAGAATTTTTCTTTTACTTTAGGACTTCTCTTTGACATATTCGAATTGCCAGTATCACTCTTGTACTTTTGAGATTTTATTACTGGTTACTTGAACAAAGCAATACTGCTCCAGTTGATACCAAAATGACTACTAAGTGACTAATGGGCAGGTAGTATACAGTGTGGCTATGCTGGACAAACAGATGATTAATGTCCTAGCTAGATGGAACTGGATGGCATAAGACTTAATCATGCTACATAGAATGGTGTACAATTTAAAACATGAATTGCTTATTTCTGGAATTTTTATTTAATATTTTTATGACCAAGTTTGATCGTGGGTAACTGAAATCACTGCTAGGGATGACTACTGAATATTTCTGTATCTATCTCCAAATAATGAAAATCCTTAGTTCACACCAATACTTCCAGTTCCAACTCAGCACCACGGGGTTAATTCTAGTTTCCTCCCTTTCCAAATTTTATAACTACCCTTTCTATTACTGATGGCCATGAAAGTGGGGGGAGGGCACGTTGTTAGATTCCACTTGGCAAATGTGTTTCTCATTATTTTTAATGTATTTAAATACATTATTCTTAATGTAGTTACCTAGTTGATCTACTCGAATCCCTCTGCTTTCATTCCTACCTTTACACCCAAGGCCTTTCAGCCTTTTGCTGCTTCATGCTGGGCCACACCACCCTCACATGGATACCCTCCTAGTGGTGACTGCAGATGGACACCCATGTTTGGACTCCTCCCTGCAGATGCATGCCTTGCCCTGACCAGCAAATGGATTTAGGATGGAACTGTTTGGAAAGGAAAAGCAAAAGATCAAGAAGGGAAAGGAAAGAAAGAACAGCAGGAGAGGAAGAAAAAGAAGGAATCTAAGCTTCTAATTGAGAAGAGAGGAGGTTTTTAGCAAGGAATGGTGCTAATATCTAGCTCAGCTATATCCTTAATCAAATAAATATACAAATTATCTGAGTTGTTTTTATAATTCACAGAGAAAATTGAATAATTTAAGAAAAAGTTTATGTAGATGACTATTTCCTTTGCCATTAACGCCTGTACCAGAACAGGAGAGAATATGTTAATATTTAAATTTTATCAAAATTCATTTTTAATGAAATCATGTACTTTGATAAAGGGCCAGAGCGCTCCTTTTTGTTTGTTTATTTGTTTTGTCTTAAACTTCTGATGAAATTAGGAAACAGCCTATGCTATACTCAAAAAAAATCCTCAGATTAGGAAGCAGCTTGGGCAATTTCACTCTTTGCTTTCGCTGTGTAAGTACAAAGTTCTATTTAGGCTCTGTGCAGAGTACAAAAGGATATGCTCAATTTATATGGACAACTAGGACCCAGATTCCCAAAATTTGGCCTGCAGGTTCTTTTCAGTAACTAGAGCACAGCAAGTGCTATGTGCTGACAGGACCTGGTGGAGAAGCCAATGGAATATACTAGGGCTGACTAGAAACACCCACAACCTGTATTTTTCTGGAACTCTGCAGAAAAGTAGATTGCTTGGTTCTCCAGATCAGAAACTGTGAAAGGAACAAAGCCCAGTACAATATCTCAGTGTACTGAACCACTGCCCCTATGCTGGCTTTCTAGCTCTGCAACAGAAATTAAGACATGATTTCAAATTGAGGAACCATACCCAGAGCCATAGCTGGGTTTTGTGGACTTGAGACTCATAAAACCTGGGGATTTCTTTTAAGTGTAAAACCATAATTAGGTACAGAATCTCAGAAGGCATCTATGCAGGTGAGAGGTCCAGAAACTTAAGCTTCATCAGCTTTGTCATTAATCTACAACGGAAGAGGCATCTTTTACCCTAAAGAGGGCCTCAGTAAGAAGAGAAGAGGTGATGGGAGTGGGTGATGGCCGTGAAAGTGGGGGGAGGGGGGCATGTTGTTAAATAACTACTATAGATTCCATTTAGCAAATTTAAAATTCATGCTCTATTTAGTGGAAATAACGTTAGTTAATTATTTCCCAAGTTGTCTCACATTTGATGAGCTACTTAAATTCTCTGCTGCCTGCAAATCAATGTTTAGTGAAGAAGGTATTTATAATTAGGAATGTTAGAAACAACTTATATTTAGGGTTTGACTAGTTAACATAAAACAGAACCACGTCAATGTTCTCATTAAAAAGAAGCTTCTCAAACATAGGATTGGGCCCAAGGGATAAAGGTATCTATATAAAAGACTATGTTATTCGGAATAAACAAAACAACCGACAACCTGATTCAAAAATGGAAAAAAAAGAGCTCAAATATTTCTCTCCAGTACTTTGATAAAAGAGGCCTCAGTGCTTCCTTGCCCGTTCCACCATGTGAGGATGCACCAAGAAATCACCTTCTATTGAGGTGGAGGGAGAGCAAAAGGACACTCAGTGTAGGTAATAAATGATTGGGTCAGGAAAATGGGGGTTGATTCAAGAGGAAATAAATTGCTAACACTTCCAGGGCTCTTCTCTATCCTGCAACATGTTAACCTTCCTCCAGAGAACTGTTCCTCCCAATAAGGAGTTGTTAATGAAGTACCTCCCAGGTAGCTCCTCTCTTTCCTTTCTAGGAAGATATGGAGAGGCACCCTGGAAAGTTCCTTTACCACCTTTTGACCATGTAGACAAGATCAGGGGAGGAGGGGGCATGAGAAGAAAGGATAAAAAGGGTAGGACATCCCCACTCCCTTGGGCACCAACTTGGAGGGTCCTCTGCAGAGGAGTATGTGATAGTAGTACTGTCTCTATCTCTCTATCCATTAAATAACTTTTTTTTTTTTTGCTCTTGCCTCAGCGTTTCTTGGGTGTTCAATCGTTAACATGGGGGAACGGGACACTCAGACATGATTCTCAACATTGGTCTCACTACGAATCAAAAAGAAGATCCCTTAGCAAACACCAAACTTTTGGCACCTTGATCTTGGACTTCTCGGCCTCCAGAATCAGGATAAATACATTTTTGTAGTATTTAGCCAGTCTATGGTATTTTATTATAGTATTCCAATCAGACTAAGACACTTGGGAATAAAAAGGAATAAAATTCTGACATATGCTATAAGACGGATTATCTTGAAAGCATTTTGTTAAATAAGCCATACACAAAAGGACAAACCATTTCACTCAC